AAGGCCCCTGTCACATGTTGAGCAGATACATACCAACACAGTGATGTCAGTTTGTTCATCTCAACCTCAGACTGCTGATCTATTCATCAGAAACTCAGAAGCTGTGCAGCTGAAGGCCGCAGTGAACACAGTCGAGTCTCTCATGGTCAGTAAACTTCTGTGTCTCAAACAGCAAAAACTCATTTGTCCTCTGGATCCTCTGGTGAGAGTGGCCGTGTGAATTAACACCAAACACACCTGGGTTATTCCAAAATATCCTTTATAGAATATATTTTATATAGTTTGTTCAGAAACAGAAGATTTGTGAGTAAAAATCCATCTAACAGAAGAAGAGCGTCCCATTGTCACTGACTGAGATGATGTAGATTTGCACTCTTTGGACTATTGATGTGGACACAGGCGGAAAATCTTCTCAGCACACAGATAATAACTTATTAAAACTGCTGGATATTTAAAACTTTAACTGAAACAACAGCAAACCAACTCACCAAAAACCACTGATCCTGTTGTATTTATTTCACCAACGAGCCACTAAAAGACACATACCTGAAGAGTTTGCAGAAATCCTGTTAAACCAGATCTCAGGAGGTTCTTCAGACTTTCAAATATGGAAACTGTATCACACTAGAGTCGCCTTGCAAAATATATATAATTAGTCATTGTACTCTACCGTTGACACTATTATATTATAGATATTAACAACGTTTGCACCCCGTTTCACTCAAGATGAATATTTATCTCTTCATGGTTGCACTTAAAAATCATATCTTTCCCTGAAGATAACAGCTGACCCTGAGGTGTTTGTGCCAACTGTTCTGAGGTCATAATATTATCACACAGACACTTATAACAATTATTGCAGACAAAAGGAAATCAAAACAAGATGATGTTTGCAGGACTGTAAGTTCAGTAAGATTAGGTTAACAAGCTGAAAACAGACAAATGTTACACTTGGTTGAAAATTAATTTGCTGTTTCCCACCGAGGCATCTTGCCAACTGAAGACTACGCGTGCAGCAGCAGTGTCCTGACCCACCTTCACAGTCCACAAACAGACTTGGTATTAGTTTGGCAACATTTTATGTTTTATTAACTGAATTGGCTTACAGATGATTACATTTCAACCCATAAAGGAGGAAAAAAAATGAAGGTTTTCTTAAACCTTTACAGTTGTTTCAGCTAATAAAAGTAATGGAAGCAGAGGAACATTTTACTTTCTCCACTGGT